ATTTGAATTTATCTGAGAGTTTCTTTGTCACTTGCACTGCTACGCAACCAGAAAGACAGAATCTGACTGTTCAATGAAAGCTCGTACTATGTAAATGCGGGCTGTTCTATCCTGTACCCTATGATCATGCTAAGTGGCACTTGGATTACAGATTAATGACTATAATAACAGTAAACATTATCAATAAATGCTCATCAATCAAGCATGTACAAGAACGTCAATCATAAGGGTATAAGGTATAGTGTGAAAAAGGTGCCCATCAGAATTGAACCAAGAAAAATGATGGTGAGTATGCAACCATTTAGTTATGGTTTGTTTAGTAGTCAACATGGTCTCAAGTCTAGACCATTACAATCGCTCCAAGGACCGCCACAATCAGACTCAGCTTGGACACAGCACTGCCAACAGCAGCACCATCTGTCACAGCTGCCGACTGTGTTGCTTGAGCAGTTGCAGATGACTGGCTGGAACCACTGCCAACAGCAGCGGCAGCGACAGGATTCGCATGCGAGGAGCCTGTCTCCACCATGGCGTGTGGCTTGTACGTGTAGCTAGCCGACACGGTCCAGTTCAATGCTGCGCTGGAGCTGACCTTCCAGCTGGATGAGGGCGTCCAGCTGGGGGTAGGCCGGGGGGTGATGCTGCTGGAGCTGGTGGTGCTGATGGTGGAGCTGGAGCTGAGCGTGGAGCTGGAGGTAGTAGTGCTGGACGGGGTCGGGGTCGGGGTGCTGCTGGTAGTGCTGGAGCTGGTGCTGATAACCGTCGACGTGCTGCTGGTAGTAGGGGCGATGCTGCTGGTCGAGGTGGAGCTGGAGCTGGCGCTGCTGCTCACGACGACGCTGCTTACACTGCTGCTGGACACCGGCACACTGGCCGAATCGCCTTCCTTGTCGAAGACAACGACATTGGCCTTGCCGCCCTTGGGTACAGTCACCACACAGAAGGTGGCACCGCCTGCACCCACCGAGCTGTCGCCAGTCATCTCGTTCACGCCGTTGACGGACGGGTCGATCTTGCAGGGCAGTCCATTGCAGCCGCCTCCCTCACACTCAATTTCGACACCGAATTCAGGGACTTCGTTGCGGAACGGGGTGGTCGGTTCCAGGTAAATCGGATTCCATCCGAGCTTCACATAGGTGTTGCCGTCGCCGTCGGTGTTGGCGCCGGCAACATACGGGGACCAGTTGCCGTAGGGGTTCGCGGAGGTACCCCAGACACAGGCCGTCTCGGTGTTGTATCCCGGAGGGTTGATATAGAAGCTATACTGTCAGTATAATGATCTCTTACAAGTAAAAGTAATGGAAAACCTACTGCGCCGCAGTCTCACACCAGTAACTCAGATCCGGAACAGCCAGGGTAGCCAATTCCTCAACAAGCGTGGGAATCAACATGGCCTCATTGCCAGGAAGAACCGTCTGACAGAAGGACACCTGCTCCTTGCACTTGTTCTTCGCGCTGACGACGCCGGTGCCGTCCTTGCAGTAGGGACGGTCCGGGAAGGGCTTCTGAATCTCGCCGTTCTCGTCGCAGTACAGTCCACCATTCTACTCTTGTCAGTCACGCCCAATAAAGGTTTACTCCCAGGCAGCTTACCATAGACATGGGGTAGGTGTACGAAGTAGCCTCCGGGTCCCACTGCATAGAGACCTGGCCAGCCGGACAAGCATACGGGCAGTATCCACCAGGCTTGCACTCCTGGTCAGGGCTCATAGCCCATCCACCATTGACCTCGTGGGGAGTAATGGGGATCAAGCCAGCACCGGAAGGGAACTGGCACGAGGAACTCTTCTTTACCACGGGGGCATCCACCGAGCGATGGCTGCGGTGGTGGCCATGGTCATGGGCGTGCTTGGCTGCTTGGACAGTAGTCATGGCTAGGAAAGCCACCGTTGCACTAGTGGCCTTCATTGTTGTATGAGAGGTGTGTATGTATGTATGTTGTATGTATATGTGACCAAAGGTGGAGTGATGTGATATGTATGGGTCAGTTTTGTGAGATATATAGCAGCAGACAAGTAGGCAGGTAAGTATAGAAAATAATTGAATATGACACCACGACAGACCACGCGAAACGAAAGACTAGGGTCAGTAAGGACAAGAACGAGAGACTGGACCGAAGCAAAGAAAGGGAAGAAAGAAGAGAAAGAAAAAGAGAGACAAGAGCCGGCAGACCCAGAAGAAAAGAGAAACGAGGAACCCACTGCCACCACCATCAAACTACTAAAGAGAGACTACTACGACTAGTAGCCTGAAAGTGATGCTCTCCCCGGGTTACCCAAACGGGATAGCCCTAAAGCTTCGATCCCAATTAGGCATGACCCGCTCAGGGGGTCACGCCAATCAGCGGCCTTTGCGCCGCGGCAGTTCATGGAATACCCCCCGTATGTTACTTCTTTGGGATTAGTGGAATAGTGTAGGTTACCGTACGGTTCCTGATGGATGGATAAGGGGTCCGTGGACCCTGAGACATTCATCCATACTTGGTGGTAGAACTCACAAAAGGGGAGTAAATATAAGAGAGAGAGAGAGAGAGAGAGAGAGAGCGCGTAGCTGTGAACAATGATATATCTGCTGAGTTTATCCAACTCAATCCCTTAAATTATTGCCATCTGTCAACTCAACTCAACTCTACCAGAATATGACACGGGACAAACTCACAACCACTCCCTTCCTCTCCCAGATAAAGACATCACGATCAGCATCCGTCCAGACCGGATCAGCATCCTATTCCAGTATAAGTCACAAAGTAGTGCTCGAGTCCATTCGAGTCAGTGCCTCTCTGCCTCTGGGCTAGTCTCAGTCACTGACCGGCCACGGACTTTGGCAGTTTGATGAAAAGAAAAAAAAGGGGGGGCGAGAAAGCAAGCCAATCGTACAGGCTCATAGGCGGGAGCTATGGTGCTAGCTTGGGCAATAGTCTATGTTTAGTCTGTGTCTCGCTTGCTCAAGGGCTCGTATCTATGGTCATGTTTGATTGCACCAATGGCTTGATTGCTGGGCAGATACTGGTTTCTCTGTCAGGTACTTTAGGCAATAATTGACAATAACAATAAAATTATAATACTAGTATACGGAGTAAACAGGGGTCTTGGGGTGGTTTGCATGCATGTTGCAAGCTTGGGCTGCCATGCACTTCACTCCACTGCATAGTCTACTCTCTCCTCTTTCTCGCCCCTTGGCCTGTGCGCTCAACGTGGATTCCCATTCATATGTAATCTTTCATATGATAGTCTGGGGAACTACTTGAGAAGCAATAAATTAACTAGCTAGCTAGTTAGTTATAATGTATGACGCACACAATACTCCATAACGACACAGTCATACTTCTTATCTCTTACTGTATACCTACTCCTACTCCTACTCCTCCTGCCCTTCCATCTCCCTCCATCCCTCAAACACTCCACCCGGGGTGTCCCTCCACCCCCAAGCAACACAATAATGTCTCGCCAGTAACCTCCACTCCTCCATCTCATCCAACATCTCCAACCCTGCCACCCTCTCCTTCTCCCGCTCATTCACCCACTTCTCCCAGATGAAGTCCACATCCGCCGCCGCCTGTCCCCTGTCCAGTCCCAGCTCCCGTAACCTCCGTCGCTGCGCCTCTAGCGACGCATACTCTTGCAATGTCTGCAGCTGAAGCCCTCTCGTGGCTAAATTTGCCACCATTGTGCGCCCGAATGCATCGTCGGGCCGGATGGGCTCATACAAAACCAACCCTACCGGCGTGGTCGCCGGGAAAATGGTTTCTGTAAAGTGGCGGACCACCGAGCTGGCTTCGCCGGGGGTGAGGTATACGAGACAACACTCGGACAGGAGGAGGGTGGGGAGAGTAGGATCGAGGCCTGGGAGGACGGGTGAGGTGGGTAGACTGCGGAGATCGAGGGGGTGAAGGTGGTAGGAGGGCGAGTGGAGGGCGTCGTTGGTTGGAGAGATTTCGACGTCGCCGCTGCTACTGCTGAGGACGCGTTGGATGAGAGGTGCGGCGCGGATGAGTTTGATTTTGGCGGAAGTGTTGACAGAAAAGTCGATTTCGTGGTAGACTAGATTCGATGCGTCGTATGTAGGGGAGGAGAGGAGACGAAAGATGCGCGTGTCGGTGCCGGCGCCCAGGGAGATGATTTGTTTCTTGGGGTAAGAGGAATGGGCGCTCAGAAAGCGGGTGACGAGGTGGTCGATGGTGGTGGTGCGAACGTAGGTACCTATGATGGTTAAATTTCAAAAATTTGTGGAATCTGTTGACGGGAAAGTACCTCTGTTGATGATGGGAAGTCGGCGAACTTCCATGCCCGGAGGCGTTAATGCAGGTGCAAAGACATCATCAAGATAGCCCAGATTCACGGCGCTGAGGCGGGAGACGCTGGCGTCATTGTCGGTGCCCTGCACCACACGATCTTTGGCGCCATGAGACCCGTGGCCTGCCTCACCAGGCTGGCCACCTCCACGACTTCGAAATCGGCCGCGACCACCGCCGCGACGCAGGGTATTCAAGTTAGGGATGTGCGAGGCGGACATTGACGAGGAGGAGATGGAGAAGCTCAAGTTGGAGCTCCGCGGCGGAAAGTTGGTTGTGCCCCGCGGTGCCGCCCCCACAGTTTTTCTACTTCTACAAGCTGTCGGATCTGCATGTTGACTATGTACTATGAGAACAAGTTACTCAAGAGATGCTATTATTTGCTTATACTGACAGAGATTTTAGGAGCGAAAGTGGGAGCTGAACAACGAGATACTTTGATCTTCTATTCTTCATCACTTCCTACTAAAGAGGTGGAGTAGAGGAAAGACTTGCGTTGTTCGCAAATTGTCTTCTTAAGAGAGGAACCCGCTGAAAAAAAAAAAAAAGTTTACCAAACCATGTAGCTTGTTTGAAAAAAGGTTTACTGACTCTTTGAGTATTGCTGTTGTTAGCTTTGTCTCTTTCCAGTCCGGGCAAGGACATGCGGATGTGACAGATACTGATAGTCATCGAGTAATGTAGCATCGTAATGAACACTTTCAATATACTCTCTATGTACATCTCTACTACCCACCCCCTATACATAAACAAAATTGTTCCGACACAGCGGGCACGTGCTCTGGTTGCTGCTCTTGAACCACCGGAACAGACACACAGAGTGGAAGGTATTCTTGCACGTCGCGCACCGCTTGTTCGGTGTTTGCATGTCCGTCGAAATGACCGAGTAGCAGATCGCACACTCGCTCTGTCCTTTGAGCGCACCCTGCACGTTCTTTCGGAACGCCAGCAGTCCGTCCACCAGGTTGCCGTTGGCAAACATGATCACCCCTTGGATGGTCAGCAACCAGCTGCGCCACTTCTTCTCATCCACGAGCACACGGCTTCGACTCACAACCAACGCTGGCTGCAGTGGATAAGCCGGAGGAAGGGACAAAGACAATGCCACTGGTGGCGACTCTTCATCCACCGGGATGCTGGCAATGATCTCCGCAGTCTTGGGTGAGATCTTCACGTTCAGCGCCCGCTCTTCGTTCGGATCCTGGGTGGCTGTCCATTCAGTGACTCCCCGGAGCGAGTCCTCGATAACCAAAGGCGAGATCTAATGCAGTGTTAGTTTACAATAGGGCAAGCCAAATATTCAGGCAGCTTACGAATTTCTCGGTCCAGGATTCCACCGGCCCCTTGATGCGCTTCTTCGTATCGAGCCACCAACTCTTAGTCATGTTGGCCAGGTGCCTCAAGCACAAGAAATACAAGTGCACGAGAAGCCATTGAATCTCCTTCTCAGCGCTCTCGGACTGATCGAGCTCGAAGGAGCGGATGTCAAACTTGGATGCATCCACCATCTTTCCGCCCGATCGCTGGAGGAAATCGAACATGAACTCCAAAAGTGGGCTGAGACTTTCGTTGTCCTTGATACTAGCCACGTAGTTCTCTTGGACAGTAAGAGACTGTGGCGGTCAGCAAACCATATTCCTATAGCAAGACACCAATACATACCGCGTTAACGAAGTGATCGAAAACCACCTTCCAGCTTAGCAGATACGACCGTAGTTCGGCCCACATCCTGTCGTCGCCATAGGCGGCGTTAACCCCTTCCATAGTCGGTGCTTCGAGCAGCAAAGACATGAGCTCGTCAGGCAGTCCGACCGTCGTCTTCGACAGCGCCACGTCAAATGACACTTGTTCTTGCACGCTGGGGATGTACCGATGGAGGACTGTGTAAGCTGCGCGTTGCACCGCAGGGCTCTGCGCTGTGATAAGAGGGAAGAACTTGCTCGCGTCCTCCATGTGATCAACTGGGATAACGTTGAGGAAGCGACACAACAGATCAACAGCCACATCTCGAGGTTGGTGGAAGGTGGTGGACGAATCTGTCCAGTCAGCATATACGTGATAACCGTGTTTCCAACACTTACCAAATTTCTGGAGCGTTGATGCCAAGCTATTGAAGAGTGCATTCTTCCGATCAGACCACGCATCCTTCACATCATCGTTACTCTCCTCGTCGCCTGCGATTGACTGAAGACGAGAAAGGAGTCTGAATGACGATAGCAGAGTAGGGATGGCTTCGTCGCTACCACCAGTCTCTTGCCATGTGGTAATAAGGATATCCATACATTCCTCCCAGTGGGAGCCGTAGATTTCCTGTAGGTTAGGAAGCATCACTACCAGGACTTGGAAAATCTCGGCCTTGATGCTCAGAGATGTGCCCTCAGACTGTAGGCATTGAATGAGATGTTTGATAAGGAACACCAAACGCTGTGTGGGAATGGAGGCCGCAACCTCTTCTTCTCCAGATAACAGGAGATTCAAAAGGACCAGCTTGCGAAGACCTAGTCTATATTAGCAGATTATATTGACTGGGTAAAGGGGCCTCGACATACCATCTTTGCTCTCTTCGGTGGGCTTCAACCCCGTGGAGTCCGCCACAAACTCGTTACACAGTCGTGTGCCGGCAGGGTTGGAGAGTATGGCACTTCGTAGCACGGTCACCCAAGAGGCCGACCGAATGGCGTTCGCCTTTCGCATATCCCTGCAAAGTTGTGTGACCTCTTCTGATGACCGACTCTTGTTTGACGAATCCACAGCTTCCATAATTTTCACAAACGCCAACCCAATTTGGTAGTCTAACGGAGAAAGGGAGTCCAGCTTCTCGACCTGGCTTGTCCAGAATGTAGAAAGCAAAGAACCAACTGACAGTCCTTTACCGGCATTCAGTTTTTGCGACTGAGCCCAGCCATTCACGGCTTTCCGACCATCGCTGACTACTTCCATGTACTCCTCACGCTGCTCGGGGTGTGTGATGCCGGTTATTCCATTGCAATTTTGGACGCTCAAGTCATCATCAATAAGCTGCACTGTTAGGGGTACATTGTAAAACAGTGTCTCAAGCTCCTCAATCTCCAAATGTGCAATAATATCGAATGAAGAAAGAATCTTGATGGTGTAGAATGCCAGACGGAACGCCGACGAGCAATTGTTGGAGTCGCGCGGAGTACGTGCGTAGCGTTCCCGGAATGCGTCTGACACACTGCGATCAACGAGATGCACGGTACCGGCGAGCGGGCTGGTGACGGCAGCCGATAGCCGTGGAGGGAGCTCGAGAAAAGGCCCAAGGGAATTCTCCCAAGATTGACGAGACGGCAGTATGTCCTTCGCTACTCTTCCAATGTCCGCGGAAGGGACATTCTGTAGCAGCTCTTCCGCGATGCTCAACATGGACTCGATGCTAGTACCGTTAGCTTCTTTTCTCTCCTCTCGTTGGGTCGCGACTTACGAAAGTGACATTTGATTCACATTGTCGAACTGGTGCTGCAGGATCTCAAAGCTCGATTTGGCGCTTGTCTCACTGACGACGGAATCTTTCACAGTCTTGGACAGCGACTCTGCGAGACTAGCTACTTCTTCATCCGACGACTCGGTAAGGAACAACAGCTTACCAGACAACTTTGAGCCGTGGCCTCCGCTCTGGAAGTTTCTGACAGCAGTGGGGACCGAACTGGAGATGCGAGAAAGTCCATGTAGCGTGTCAAATACCTTGCTCTCTTCAGAGAGGGCATCCACAATAGACAGGAAAATCGAGTCCGTCAATTGCCCAAGAGAAGTATGGTTCTGTAGCACGGCAACAACAATGGACCAGTGAAGGTCGCTGCCCTTGCAAGCTTGGTCTAGGGCCCGCATGACCAAAGAAACCAGTCCACTCTTGTCGCCTAGCTCCTGGAAATCAAGAGTGGAAAGAAGCTTCTGAACAGCATGTACATTTGAGGACTCAGGATCCGACTGTGCCACACGCTCGACGACCTTCTCGAAGCTAGGTCCGAACCCTTCCCAAGATCGGCAAGACATGATAATGGATACCAATCGATCAGCGGATGGCGATGCCAAGAGCTCAGGCGCATCCTGCTGAACAAAATTCAACAACGACTGCGAGCCTTGCGCGATTTGCGGGACTTTGCGTACTATTTCTTCGACAACCGCAGCCGCTCCATAAGGCTTACCATTCCTGGAGCGCAACACCTCCAGGCAATTATCGAGTAATTTTAGGCCTGTATTCTTGAATACACCCAAAATGCTTGTCTCATGGGCAGTATCATGCAAACGCGAAAGCAACAAGGCTTCCGAGGAGAACAGACGCTCAGCCTCCACACATACTGCGTCCTGTGAGGACTTGAAGTCCTTGGACTGCTCTGGTGATGACAGCTTTACGGCCTCGAGTAGGCCATCGGCCAACTTTGTCCACAGCTGCTCGACCACCGCTTTGTAGCCTTTTGCTGTAACTGCGACGAGACAATCCGTGCAGATAGATTCCGCTGACGAAGGGGGAAGAGTCCATTGAAGACGATCTTGTTCAGGCTTGACATATTGCAATATCAACGGAGCAAGCCTGTCCTGCAAGAATTTTTCCCTATCCTCCTCAGAAAGCCGGTGCGCAAGCCACATCGACGTGTCAATGTAGGCCTTCCAACCAACAGCACGATTCTGTCGAGGCTCATCCCTAGAAGTGAGTCCTTCCTGGAACGACTCTGTTAGTGCAACCGCACCAGACAGACCAAGAGAATCAGATGTAGATTGCGAGTCAATCTTGGCCAGTGTTTCGAAAGGAATCGTCTGGAGTAATTGGCAAAGATTTGGCCAGAAGGAGCTTGTGCCGCTTTGTGAACCTTTTTGTATGTACTGAAGAAGTCTCTTGGAAGGAGGCGACTTCCCAGAATAGTCCTCTGTCCATAGTTGCGGTCTTGCAGACGTTACCCGCAAAATCGTTTCGGAAAGCTCCGATGCGGAGCCAAGTTGGGGACTGTGCAAAGCCTTGCCAATCAAGGCAGCACTGATGAGCTTCCAATCAAGCTCCTCAGGCTCTTTAGACACAGCTGATCGAGTAAGGATGTAGAGCGATTTGCGCACAAAAGGGTCGTCGTGATAAGAAAGCGCCCATAGAGATTTGCTGCATAAGAGAGTTTCGATGGTCGGCAGATCCTTCTGCAGATCTTCGCGGGTCGAGTGTCCTACATTGCTTTAGTTAGGTTGTTAGGTACAATATGGCTTTCCGCCTACCTAGAACTCGGTTGAATAACAAGAGCGCAGTGCCAGCTACACGCGCATACTTCGCTTCTGCATCGTCAGGCTTGACTGTTCGCTCATCGCTCAATGTCAGAGCAGTCTGCTGCAGGATGACATCATCCACAAATTCTAGGATAGCGCTCTGGTAGACCTTCCACACGCCGCTTCTCTTCTCGTCAGTCGAAAAGACGCGGGTGAAAGACTTCAAAGCAGACTGATGGACAGGTCTATCATTATCATAGATCCCCGCCAGCCACGCGCCAATCACCTTGGGCAGGAAGCGAGCAATTCGCTTTCCCACCAGACTGGCAATCGACCCTTGAGTAGAATGAGCGGTTTGTCTCACCCTGCGGGACAGATCTATGGAAGCGCGGGGGTAGATTTTAATCTGCCGATGTTCCGAACCATGATCAACTTGCTATCCCGGGGGCGCATAATGCGAAGGTTGACCTACCCAAGCTTCCAGGAACCCGTCATCAAGAGTTCCGCTGCGACTCTCGACACTCGATACATGATCTCGCAGATCATCCAGTGCTCTCGTTCTGGTGACTTCATCTTTCTTTAGAAAGTTCTTGAACGCAATCGCTAATTGTGCCTCCGATATGCGGGAAAGATCCGGCGGTTCAGCCACATATGTAAGTGAAGATGGCTCTTTTCCTTGGCTAGAAAATGCGCCGGAGAATCCACCAAAGCCGCCGAAAGTGCCGGCAGCAGCTCGGCTGCTTGAGGCCTGAGATTTGAACTTCTTGCTCATAGTAGAGTGGGGGAAGCGGGATGTAAAGAAAATGACGGAATGCGCGTATATAGCATGGAAGTAGAGCAGGTCACAACCATAGAAGAGAGGCTTAAGTGAACCTGGCCGAGTTTAATTTCTTGCTAACCGACCCAAGCTACCTGTTCAAGGGTCTCTCATCCCACAATTCCCCTGGGATTATGCCGATTCTTGCTTCAATATCGATAATTGATAATCGAAGCTCCCCGCCGTTAAAAGCGGCGTGATTACATTATCGGCGTCTCTATCGGGCAGTGCACGTGATCTGGTGTCATCGATTCCCGATTGGGCAAAAGTCGACGCGGTCTAGAAGATCCTCCGAAGGCGCCCAAAAGGCGATTCTCATTCTCTCTCGAGCATCACGCTCCTCTTTCACCATGAAATTCTTTATCGAGTATGTACTACCCTTTACGTAGCTCTCACCTTCATCCGAGAGCTGTCACAACTGACTCTCCCCATCTTCTAGTGATCTCCCCGTCCTTTTCCCGTATCCTCGTATCTATCCCGAACAATATGCCTACATGTGCGATCTTAAAAAGACCCTCGATGCCGGGGGTCATTGTGTCCTGGAGATGCCCTCCGGGACCGGAAAGACTGTATCTCTTCTTTCGCTGATTGTCGCCTACCAACAACACTATCCGGAGCACCGAAAGCTCATCTACTGTTCTCGAACAATGTCCGAGATCGAGAAGGCCTTGGCCGAACTGAAGGCGCTGATGAAGTTCCGGGCTAAGGAACTTGGGCATACCGAAGATTTCCGCGCGCTGGGTCTGACAAGTCGAAAGAACTTGTGTCTGCATCCGTCTGTCAAGCGGGAAAAGAGTGGCGCGGTGGTCGATGCGAGGTGCCGGAGCTTAACTGCAGGCTTCGTCAAGGAGAAGAAAGAGCGCGGTGAGGACGTTGAACTTTGCGTATATCATGAGGTATGGAGCTTGCGATCTGGGTCAGGGCCGATTTATAACTTCTCTGCAGAACCTCGATCTGCTCGAGCCGCACAATCTTGTTCCTCCCGGTGTCTTCACCCTCGATGATCTACTCAGATACGGAGAAGAGCATAAACAATGTCCTTACTTCTCAGCCCGACGCATGGTATGACACCCTTGAATGGCTGTAGTTATTCCAAGCTTACTCAAGAACTGTCCAGATGCCCTTTTGCAACGTCATTATCTACTCTTACCACTACCTGCTGGACCCCAAGATCGCCGAGAGGGTATCGCGAGAGCTCTCTAAGGATTGTATCGTGGTTTTCGATGAGGCTCACAATATCGACAACGTCTGTATCGAGTCGCTAAGCATTGACATTACGGAGGATTCGTTACGGAAAGCGACGAGAGGCGCGAATAACCTGGAACGCAAAATCAATGAGATGAAGACTTCGGATGCAGAAAAGCTCCAGAATGAGTACTCGAAACTTGTTGAAGGCCTACAAGCAGCCGAACAAGCTAGGGAGGAGGATCAGTTCATTTCAAACCCTGTCCTTCCGGATGATCTGCTCAAGGAAGCCGTGCCGGGAAATATACGACGAGCGGAGCACTTCGTATCCTTCCTTAAAAGATTTATCGAATACCTCAAAACCCGAATGAAAGTCATGCATACCATATCCGAAACGCCTCCTTCCTTCCTAACACACGTGAAGGATCTGACCTATATCGAGCGGAAGCCCCTTCGCTTCTGCGCTGAACGATTAACCTCGCTCGTGCGAACTCTGGAGCTTATCAACATAGAAGACTACCAACCGCTCCAGGAGGTAGCAACATTCGCGACTCTAGTCGCCACCTACGAAAAAGGATTCCTCCTGATCTTGGAACCTTTTGAATCAGAAGCAGCAACCGTTCCTAACCCGGTATTACATTTCACCTGCTTAGATGCTGCCATTGCCATCAAGCCGGTGTTCGACCGATTCAGCTCCGTCATTATCACTTCAGGAACGCTATCTCCTCTTGAGATGTACCCCAAGATGCTAGGATTCAATGCTGTAATGCAGGAGTCCTACAGCATGACACTTGCTCGTCGATCTTTCTTACCCATGGTCGTAACCCGCGGATCCGATCAGGCGCAGATATCCTCATCCTTCCAAATCCGCAACGATCCCGGAGTCGTCCGAAACTATGGCAACCTCGTCTTGGAGTTCTCCCGGATCACCCCCGACGGCGTCGTCGTCTTCTTCCCCTCTTACTTGTACATGGAATCCATCATCAGCATGTGGCAGGGCATGGGCATTCTTGACTCAATCTGGAACTACAAATTGATCCTCGTCGAGACGCCCGACGCACAAGAATCATCCCTCGCCCTCGAAACCTACCGAACAGCTTGCTGCAACGGCCGAGGCGCCCTCCTTCTCTGCGTCGCACGAGGCAAAGTCTCCGAAGGAATCGATTTCGACCACCACTACGGCCGCGCCGTCATCAACATCGGTGTTCCCTTTCAGTACACCGAGTCCCGCATCCTGAAAGCCCGTCTTGAGTTCCTGCGCGAAAACTACCGCATCCGCGAAAACGACTTTCTCTCCTTCGACGCCATGCGTCACGCCGCTCAATGCTTGGGTCGCGTCCTACGCGGAAAGGACGATTACGGAGTCATGGTGCTCGCTGATCGTCGATTTCAGAAAAAGCGCAACCAGCTTCCCAAATGGATCAATCAGGCCATGCTGGAAAGCGAAACCAACCTCAGTACTGATATGGCGGCGGCTACCGCCAAGAACTTCCTGCGGACGATGGCCCAGCCGTTCAAGGCTAGGGATCAAGAAGGGATCTCCACGTGGAGCTTGGCTGATATAGAAAGACACCGTGAAAAGCAGAAGTTGGAGGAGGAACGAGCTCAGCGAGAAGTACCACAAAATCTTGCTTATGGCGGTGCCGCGCCTGCTCCCCACAATGGAGTGCGTAATGGTGCGGGTGATGCAGATGAGTTCGATGATGACATTGATAATGAAGATCTGATGATGCTGGATGCGCAGTGAAGCTGAACTTATTAATGGCTTTATTGTGTCAATACATTCATTAGATCGGTTGCATTTGTTTCTGTTTCTGCTTTCCTTTCATCCCCTCTCAGCAGTCCTTGCACAACCTGCATGCATGATACCACGGTTTAAAGTCTGGTGTTCAATTGGGTCATCACAGTGTACTATATATACAAGGCGTGCTTCGATCATCCAAAAATATGAGATATTATTGTTACTCTTCCTTAGTATTGAGAATTCTTTTTATTGATTGCCTGTGCTATTGAAATAAAGGTAGATAAGAGGATGCGATCTGCGTAAGAAAACTTCAACTTTTTTCTTATTCCCGCTGAAAGACAACTGCAGAGATCGTTGGACACGTCAGACAAGAACAGTAGGAAAGAAAAGGAAAAGAAATAGAAATAGAAATACAGAAACTAATGATTTTGCACATATACAAAAAAGATATGGAAACTGGTGGAAATGCAACACGCCCATTATATTTACGCCACAGGAGCAAGGACATCGAAGGCACCAGTACCGACGGTGCCGGTGCGACCAACGACGATTCTGGCACTAGGACTCTTGAGGTTATCGAAGTCTCTCTCAACGACGGCCTCCTTGAGGTATCCGACGGTGGTTTCGAAACTCATCTTGGCCAGAGGGGATGAGCCGTCCTTGACAAGACCGTTACGGTTGAAGGGGCGGAAGCCACCAGACTGGGTCATCACGTCACCGATCAGGTTCAGATGACGGTTATCGACGGAGATACTGTGACCCTGGAAAACGTCGGACATTTCCTTGACGATCGAGGCACGGGCGGCTTCGACACCGTAGAGGTTGAGCATGTCGTGGATGGAGTTGGTGTAGAGGGAGTGAGGCTTGATGATGTCTTGGTAGTCGCGCATGGCAAGCAGGTTGACACCATCAGTGATGACGTGGGCAGGTTCACCCTTGATCGGGTCGGCTTCGACGAATGTGCAGTTGCCAAGGCCAGGGATGGACTGGATGACTGCGCTGCGGCAAGCATCCTCCACCAGGGGCAGAAGCAGGAGCTTGGGAGTGTCGATGTCGTACTGCAGCTGGATAGTGCAGGATCCTCCGTCGCGAGGGTTGAACTTGAACTGCGTGACTTCCTGGTATTGGTTCTTGATATCTTCTTCGCGCAGCTTGGTGTCCTTTGTCTCGCCCTCCGACTCTTCATCGGAAGCATCGTCCATCTCGACATCACGCTTTTCGCCGGCGTTACCCTCCTCGTCGTCGTCATCGTCTTCTTCAGCATCCTGCTGTCGGACCATGTCCACCTCCTCGTCCTCCGGGCCTTCGTAAGAGACCTGGTTGGACCGGTTCTGAGTGCCCCGTGCACGCTTGGCGTCGTCCTCGTCGTCTTCAACGTCGTCGTCAGCCGGCTCTGCGTCGGCATCGGCGCCGCGGGGTCCGTCCTGTACGGTGCCAACGGAAGCACCAATTTCAGGCTGAGCAGTGGAGTACTTCTTCAGGGTCTTCTCATCGACACGCTTCTTGAGTTCAGCCTTAGTGAGTTTGACAAGCTTAGGAATGAGCTTCTTCTGCAGTGTGTTCTGCACATCCTTCGTCGTGATGGCGTATTCGGCGGTGTACTCGTCAGCAGGGAAGAAAGTAATATCAATGTCGTAAACCTTAGCCTTGACACTGCCTGAGGAGACGCGCTCTCTGACTTGGACCTTGTCGACAACCTCCGCGATGCTGAGCTTGCTGATAGCCTTGGCAAATCTTTCGGAGTGCTCCTTAGACAGCTCGTCGTTCAAGATCAAGGTCATCGTAGGGGTCATGATATGGGCACTAGCAGTCATAACAATTTCACGCAGACGGGGAATACCCAGCGTCACGTTCTTCGCCGAGTGACCAGCCAAGTGGAAGGTGTTCAAGGTCATCTGGGTGGACGGTTCACCAATAGACTGACCGGCAACGATACCGATGGCCTCACCAGGCTCGACGACAGACTTCATGTACTTCATGTTCATGAGAGTGTTGAATGCCTTTTTGCTGATGATACCGTTCACGT